TGACTAAGGCAAAAGGAATCATAGACTCCAGGAGAGTATTGAATGAACGACACGTCTGGTTCAGTCTAACGAAAGGAGGTACAGACCCAGACGGTACCAAATGAAAGGTACGACTAATAAGGTCCAAAACAAAGAATACAGACCGCAAACAATATCAAATGAAAGATACAGCTTGTAAGGTCTAATACAAAGAATACATACCGTAGACAGTATCAAATGAAAGATACAGCTTACAAGGTCTAATACAGAGAATACAGAACGTAGACAGTATCAAATGAAAGATACAGCTTGCAAGGTCTAAAAACAGTGTGACTCTGAGAATGGGTTTCAAGCATACAATGTAAGTTGTTGGTGAAATACCGTTACCTTAAGGCCATGAATTATAAGGCAACTAGGGATACTCGTAATCATACTAACCGACACTAGAGTACCTGACGCCCTAAAAGCATCTATAAAATATGACATTTGTCACCCCTTGGATTGGTGGGCCGTGGACTGTAGCTAGCAGTCAGGGTGCGGGGTGTCAATCCCGTATAGATCTATACACACAATGTCCGCTCTCCATACAGGAGACTCTGGTTACCAACTTGATGATGGAGAAGGTCGTGTCCCGAAGATGCATCCCAAATAGTGGGTAGTGTGTTCCCAATATAAGTGTTGAACTAGAGGTAGAGACTCATAACTGAACTGACTTCAGTAAACCTATATGTACATACTCGTATACATAACATACAACAAATGAACCAAATGACCTTCGGACGGCCATCCGATCCCACCAGACCACATCTCAACGAAGAAAAGGAAATAGGGCGGACAAACCTTCCTAAGTCCTTCAATCATTATTTATATGAACCTATACGAGCACATATATACATCTAACTACGACTCAGTGTGTAACAAGTGGAAACGCATCGTGATGTATAACTGAGTCGTGGTGTATAAACGTACAGTGTGGAATAACTGAATCATAAAGTGTGAACGAATAGTGTGGATCAACTGAATCATAAGGTATGAACGAATAGTGTGGATAAACTGAATCGTAAAGTGTGAACAAACAGTGTGGGATAATCGAATCATGAAGTATAAGTGTATCACGAAGTGGAAACGATAACTGATGAAGTAGAAGCATCTAACAAGTATAAGTGACTACAAGTATAAGTGAAATAGAGGCAATAACAGGTATAATCGTATCAGGAAGTGAAAACATTATCAAGTAGGAGTTTACAATAAGTGAAAGCGAAGCAGCGGTGACTAACAAGTATAAGTATACGACGTGAAAGAGAAATTTGACGAAAACCTTGGAAAACCTTTATACTTAGGAAAATCACATTTTGGTATTCTTTGGTAAAATGTGTTTGAAAACCTGTAGAAATCTTTGGAACCTTTATAAACCAGTTTGAAATGATTTTAGATACAAGGGTACAAGTAACAGTTTTGAAACAATTGAAAACCTTTTTGAAAACCATTATAGTATCCTACTCGGTAAAACAGTGTACAGTGTGGTAAAATCTCGAGCATGCGGGTTATCAATCACATGTGATTGATATGATAATTGGAATGTTTAACTTGTATCCCCCCTATAAAACATGTAAAAACATTTAAAAGGTTCATTCACGGGTATGAACTCACCTAGTGTAAGTAGGTCCGACGGAGGTGCCGTTTTGGGTGTTCGGTGTCACGTAAAGACTCGAACACACTCAATGACCTATTTAACATATGATAACATATGTTCACATACAATTAATATATTTAATACTAATTAAACACGTATACACACTCAAAGAAATGGAAAACACTTTGGTTAAGTGTTTGGGGTGTCCCTGGGTAGCGTCTAAAGGTGTGTATCGCTTAGGAATGGAGTTTACTCTCCGGGAGTAAACTCCCAAAGCTTAGTTTACGGCCCAGGGACATCTCACCATGAGTTTACAGCCGTAAACTCATGGTGAGGGGTTCTAGTGTGTTTTAAAGGTTGAATCTTGTTAGTTGGATTTTTCTAGGTCCAATTCCAAAAGCATGAGTGGGTTTAAGGCTTCTAAGGGATTCATTAGGGAGTGTACGGCCCATGAACCATCCCTAAGGGAGTTCACAGCCGTGAACTCCTATGCCATGAGTTAAGTGAAGTTTTAAGCCCTTAATACTTTCCTAGCATTTTATAGTAATAGTCTAAGGCCATTTGGGGAATAAAAACGAATATTTTAGCATGTTTGAAGGTGTTTACGGCCTTGAAACATGTATGGGCCATAAAATCCTTTTACCCCTTCATTTGATTGTGTTTAATTGATCTAAACCCGAAATAGCAAGCCCCTAATTCATGTATTAAGCCTAAGGGTGGTTTGGGAGTGTGTTTGGGGTATTTTAACAAGGTTTAGAGGTGTTTACGGCCTTGGCATATGCCTGGGCCGTAAACTCTCTTTTATGCCTCAAAATGATTGTTTTAATTGATCAAACACTCCTAGGCTAAATCCTCAATTTATTTCCAAGCTTTTCGGGACAAATTAGGGTCTTTTTTGGCCTCATTTAAGGGGTTTACGGCCTAAGGAGAATCTTGGGCCGTAAACTCCTTTTCAACAACATAAACGGTCAAATTTTAAGCTATAATCATGAGACATAATGTTTAGAACAAGCTAGGCTAAGTGGACTTACGATTTGGAAGCGTTTGGTTGCGGATTCGGGTCAAAAACGAGTCTGGAGAGAGAGTATAGAGAGAGAGAGGGTGGAAAAAGCTCAAATGGAGTTTACTCCCCCTTATATATGGGTGGGAGTTGGAGCTCGGTGGAATTCTACCAGATACTGCCGTTATACGGGGCTTTTGGTCGCACCCGATTTAGTGGTCGTAATAATAAAAACTAACTTTTCCAACTAAATGGAAATGTGTATTATGATTTTTTATTTCTCTTATCACGACTTAACGACATAAATAAATGAAATATTTATTTAATTGAGGACCTCTAATTAACGGAACTTTTATAAACTGGAATATTCCGTTAACGGTAACGGGGAAATGTAATGGAACAACTTGGGTTGTCACACGGGGGTTGGTATGTGTGACAACCAAAAATTTCTATGCTGTAAAGCCAATCAATTCAATCAAAGTCAGACTCGTTTCTATTATCTTTTAGCATTGTTAAGGGTATGTTTGAGTGTTCTAAGCATAGCACATTCAAAGATTGTGTGTTAGAATGTGTTAACTTAAGTTCATTGAGTTGCAATCGAGCTGGAAACTCCATCAAAAGGAGTTCACGGCCGCAAACTAGGGTTTACGATCGTAAACCCATGTTGGTCGTGAACCCCTCTCCATAAGTATGTTTTTCATTCATTATTCCCTCGTTTGTCACACGTTCAAGCCAAGAACACTCAAAACTCTCTCAAGTATCATCAAGAAAACACTCATTTCTCTTAAAATTGTAAGTGTTTCTTCCATTATTACTCGATATCCTTCTTATTCATGGAAAGCACTTTGATTTCATCCATGAATTCATCACATTTTGTATAGATCTTCAAATCATCATCATTTCACCAAGAACACATACTTGTTCTTAGGGCCAAAAACACCTTCAAGACTCCCATTAAGTAAGTATCCCTTCCATATACTTGTTATCCATTAGATACACTTGTTTTCCAGCCTTGAATCTGATACGTGTATGGGAGGTTTTGTTTTGGAGAGTTTCTGATTGCAGCGAAATGATAACAAATAGAGAAGAAACAATGCAAATGGGGCTGCTTTTGGTTATATTTGGAACGGTTTTGCAAGGGAATAACACGAACAAGAAACAAGGATAGTATGATGATCAAGTTAGACCTATAACTTGAAAATTGGTGAAAACAATCCAAGACCTATTGGATTGGGTTCGTATCAAGTCAAGAACACGTCCTAACAAGATAATTTGTGAATTATAACAATAATTCCAATTGAACAAATGTTTTTTTCTTAAAAATTCGTCTATTATCTTTCCTATGCATAAACTTGGCTTTATATGAAGCCTTTATTACAAACTTGGTGGTTACAAGCCAACCAACCAATTATTCATTAAAACTACTAAATGAAATTTAAGGAAACTCTTGAAGTAACACAAAAAAAAACGTCCAAGACACTTGAGAATGAAAAAAACGTCTATGCTTCATTAAGGAGCCATAAGAAGCATTAATGATCGATCAGAAGCATTAAAGTGTAACCCTAATCCACCAAAGAGCGATAAAAACGGCTAGGAGGCTTTATGAAGTTAAAAGTAACGTTTTTAGCACTTATAAAGCCTTAAAAATGTTGCCCTAGCCTTCATGCAACCCTAATTCAATTTGTGGGCTACCATGCACAACCCAACCATTGAGCCCAAGCCACCTTCTAGCCCACTAGTAATCACTAATCCATCACCTTTTGGGCTTTCATAATCCATGCATGGATCATCCCCTCCCCCTTTGGAAGGAATTGACCTCAATTCATTAAGTCCATCATCATCAAGATAAGGTGAAAGATCTCCCACATTAAAGGTAGCATGCATTCCATGGTCTCCTCCTAAGTCCACATTGTAACCATTATCATTTTCAAAATTTTTCACTTCCACACATGTATCATTCCCTCCTTCTTCGAAAGGAATTGTCCTCAATTCAGTAAGAACCAAATTTTGTTTTTCTCCCATACATACCTTCCATGACAACAGGTCTTGAAAACATATTTTTATTGCAGAATGTGACCTTTTCTTTACTCCAAGTTGGTCTCTTCTCCACATACACATGTTCTTCAAATAACTAAAAGAACTCGCCAAATGAAATTCTAACCATATCTTCCATTTGTGGATCAAAAACAACTTTCATACACTCCCATGAACAAGATTAGAACCTAGAAAGTTATCCATGAAATAATTTAAAGGATTAACAATGGTCATATGAAATAATAGATCATGGTTTGTACTTGTGGGTTGATGAACAACATGTTCCAATAACATGGCTTCCTAACTGAAAGTACACCACAAGAATAGGAATCCAAGCATTATGAACTCCCTCCCTCATAATTGCTTGGAACTTGGAACTTGATGGGTCACTCCTTCTTCCAGGTTCTTAGAAAGACAGTTTGTTATAAGACGAGTATCATCATCCTTCTTAACCACAACCACATCTTCATGGTCAAGAACCTGCTCCACCTTTTTGGATTCTTCAACCTTTTCTTCAACAATTTTGTTGGTAACAATAAAATCGATTTCTTTCACAGTTGTTTCAACAATTTTGTTTCCAACCACGAAATTTATTTCTTCTTCAATTTCTTCATGGTCGTCTTCCCCATCAGTGGCATAGAAAGGGTTAGAGTGTTCAACAATTTCTTCTCCAGTCACTAAATTAATTCTTTCAACAAATTCCTCTTCCCCATCGGTTTCATAGATGGGACCGAAATCTTCTTCCTCCACTTCTTCAATTTCCTCTTCCTCCTTAATGTCTTCTTCATCATATAACTTGCGCAACATTTTTGGACAAACAACTTCTGAACAGGAAGTGAAATCAAACAAACTTAGCAAGGATTTTTGTTAAACAAGAACACAACAACACCCAATCGAAACTGGGCTCTAATACCACTTATGATACGTGTATGGGAGGTTTTGTTTTGGAGTGTTTCTGATTGCAGCAAAATGATAACAAATAGAGAAGAAACAATGCAAATGGGGCTGCTTTTGGTTATATTTGGAACGGTTTTTCAAGGGAATAACACGAACAAGAAACAAGGATAGTATGATGATCAAGTTAGATCTATAACTTGAAAATCGGTGAAAACAATCCAAGACCTATTGGATTGAGTTCGTATCAAGTCAAGAACACGTCCTAACAAGATAATTTGTGAATTATAACAATAATTCCAATTGAACAAATGTTTTTTTCTTAAAAATTCGTCTATTATCTTTCCCATGCATAAACTTGGATTTATATGAAGCATTTATTACAAACTTGGTGGTTACAAGCCAACCAACCAATTATTCATTAGAACTAGTAAATGAAATTTAAGGAAACTCTTGAAGTAACACAAAAAAAACGTCCAAGACACTTGAGAATGAAAAAAAAAACGTCTATGCTTCATTAAGGAGCCATAAGAAGCATTAACGAGCCATCAGAAGCATTAAAGTGTAACCCTAATCCACCAAATGGTGATAAAAACGGCTAGGAGGCTTTATGAAGTAAAAAAGTAATGTTTTTAGCACTTATAAAGCCTTAAAAATGTTGCCCTAACCTTCATGCAACCCTAATTCAATTTGTGGGCTACCATGCACAACCCAACCATTGAACCCAAGCCACCTTCTAGCCCACTAGTAATCACTAATCCATCACCTTTTGGGCTTTCATAATCCATGCATGGATCATCCCCTCCCCCTTTGGAAGGAATTGACCTCAATTCATTAAGTCCATCATCATCAAGATAAGGTGAAGATCTCCCACATTAAAGGTAGCATGCATTCCATGGTCTCCTCCTAAGTCCACATTGTAACCATTATCATTTTCAAAATTTGTCACTTCCACACATGTATCATAATCAAGCACATTTCGCATGATCTTCAAGAGTTCACGGCCGTGAACCCGTCATGTGGTCGTGAATGCTTCAAAAATATCTAGTTATGGTCTTAAACCCTTCTTAAACCCAAGATAGGACCGCAAACACTTCATAGAATCAACTTTGGGCCGTGAACACATCATGTGTTCGTGGTCGTAAACTCGTCTATGGCCATAAACACACCTTGAGTGGCCATAAACACCCCTTATCCATGAACACATCTTTGTTTGGCCGTAGCCCCTATTTAATCAATCACAATTGGTTGCAACACTTCATTTTCATTGTTTATTAGTACGTAAGGTTGTTCCCTTACATGATTAGTTCTTATATACACTAATTATGTACATATATGTGTCACTATATGCTTAATAGGATCCATTTGTGCTCAAGACTTCACATGTCATACTTAGCATCCTATATCAATCTTCATTCGAATCACTCAATACAGGTGAGTTCATAACCGTACAATCAACCTTTTACATGTTTTAAATGCTTTTTAGGGGGAGAATACAAGTTGAAAAACAATAGAATTGTGTTGTTCATACATTTGATTACTCACAAACAAAAATGACTTTTACTGTTTCCAAATACTGTTAAACTTCATAGCACAACCCTTTTACAAATTACTTATAAACTCTTTTACTTCAAAATCATGTTCATATAAATATTTGTGTATACATATACTTTAATGGACATAAGACTAGTGTTAATGACCTTGACTCCTGTTCCTTGTTTGGTTGGGGGCTTAATGTAGTATTTGCTAGTCCGACTGTCGATTAACTTATGATTATAAATATTAAATACTCATATGAACATTAAGCATTTTCTCAAAGTATTACTTAACATGGTTGTTTATGTTTAAAAATTGAGTCCTTCCAAGAAGCTAGTTATACAGAAGACATACTAGTAAACTATAACAGGTATAGTTTAGAGGTCATACATATACAGGTAGAAGAAGTAACACTACACATTACATTGACAAAAGTAACATTACATTTACAAAAGGAACATTACATTTACAAAACAAAAGGAACGTTTCATTTACAAAAGGAACATTACATTTACAAAAGGAACACATACATACATATACAAGAAACAGAATGAACATACATAATATGCATGTACATGATACAAAAATATGAGATACTACTTCATGGCACAACAATAGACTTGTGGTGTTACGTTTTGTAACGAGAGTCTCCTGGAGGGAGAGTGTGTGTTTGTGTATAGATCTATACGGGATTGAGCATCCCACACCTCGCTGTTAGCTACAGTTGGACCTGCAAGTCCACGGGTGTCACACCCCGCTAAAGCGGAAACGCAAGGTATGACAGCGATAACGGTTTCATTGCAAAAGATAAAGATACATCACCATAGCAGTATTTAAAAGTTTACAACCCATAGCTTCAAAAGAACAAAATACAAGTTTTTCAAAATAACATTGTTCAAAATATAGCTTCATAATAGCTTCAACACGATGCAGCATGCTCTATGATGATGAATCTTTACATCCACTTACTAATTATTTCCTGAAAAAGCATGTAAAACGAGCGTCAACTATGAAAATAGTTGGTGAGTATCACAAGTTTATAAAATCGAGCGTACAATAAGGCTTTTCGTAAATACAAGTACATTGCTTCAATGATAAACAAGTTGATTGCTATTAATGAATACAAGTTTATTGCTATAACGAGAAACGAGTTTGTATGTGTATGAGCAAACAATGAGTCTCAACCAAACCTATGACTGAAGCCCTATCGAGATCTATGCTTATCGTTCCATAGATGAATATGGTATCATGCACTCCAGCGATTCGGGCGAGTGAGGAGTTGTCAATTCCTAATAGCGCTATCCATAACGACCATTGGCTCAAAGAGTTAATGGTTAGAGATAAGGGAAGGGCCTTTGTACGATAAGTTCTCATGTTCCGTGTTGCATAGACATACATAAAGAAACATAGCAATACAATAGCAATCATGTTTGATACAATTCAATTTAAGTACAACATGCAAACAATAGTTTTTCTGGACATGCTTTTCCACCCCAAAACATAAAACGAAAATAGGGGAGTGCGTGAATACTCACAGTATGCTAAATATAACCAAGTTTATACGAGTTAGATAAATACAACGGATATAAATAGTTTAGGACATGCTTTTCCACCCCAAAACATAAAAACATAAAATAGGGGATGTGAATACTCACGATGTTTTGTGTAGACACAAGCGGTACTTCGGGATGCACCAACGTCTTACTACCGGGATCCTACGACACCAAACACACGCACTAGTGAGTTTCCATGTCGATATCTAATGCTAATATACTAAACTCTACATATAGGGAAATGCCAATTTATGTTTTAGTATTGGATTTATATCATTTTGTTACACTTTTTCTGATGTATTGAAATTTTACAAGTCGTGCGATTAATTACAACCTTGGAAGGTTAATTTTCCAAATTTTAAGTCTCAATAACAACATAAATTCACGAAAAATAGTATTCGAGGGATAAAAATTCTCAAACTTTTTATTTAACTGTTAATACACAACACTAAGCTGGGAAAATTATAAAAATGGATTTCCAAGCTGTTTAATTATATTTTATAATTTTTGAGCATTTATTTCAATAAAAATTGAAATAAATAGTAAACAGTTTCCAAAATTACCCAAACTTTTTATTTAATTGTTATTATACATAAATAGGCTGGGAAAAATATAAAATATATTTTTCAGTGGTTATTTGTATTTTTCCTTGTTTTATTTCTTTAAATAGTCATTAATTAAAGAAATATTATTAAACAGTTAAAATAAATTACCATAAATTTTTGTAACATCATTTACAGTATAAATATCTTGGGAAAAATATCAAAAGTGGTTTTCATAATGTATAAACTGGTTTTGGGTATTTATGTATATTTAAGTGAATTTTAGTGCAATTAACTTTAGAAAATAAGGGAAAAATAGTTTACAGTGGAGAAAAATATTCAAAATTTTTATGTAACCTCCTACTATATAATATGATATCCTGGCAAATTTTCATGAATTTTGGATAATCAGAACTATTTTTCCCATTTTTAAGCCATTATAATTACCAAAAATTGGGAAAAATAGCTAGACATGATGAAAAATCTTGAAATTATTTTCTTGAGTCACCCATCACAAGTAAGGTATGCGAAAATTGTTAGATACAATTTTCACATCCTAAAAAGTGGTTTTGTAATTTATCATGTCCTAAATAAAAGAAAATTAGAAATCATATGAAACAGTAACAAAAATTGCTGAAATTTGGTGAGGGGTCATTATTCCCCATAAGTATCATCCATGAATTTATTTAGGATTTATTGACCTCTGGAAGTATTTTATATGATTTATGCCCTTGGTTTTAGCAATAATTCTAATAAATCAAATAAATAACAAAAGCTCTTGAAATTTTCCAGATTATCTCATGCATGCAAGGGCTTTCAAAAGTAAAAATGTTAAGAATGTATTCAGAAGAGAAATGAGGGTAATGATTCCAAACAATTTAAGAAAAGTTGCATGCAATAATGCATGAAGTGTAGATGTGGCTGAGGTTCATGAATTTTTGTAGCCCATTCAGTGAGGTTTTAAGCCACGAAATTTCAACCATAACTCACTAGATATGTTAAGTTTCTAAGGTATTTTTCCTAAGATTTATGGTTGGGTTTAAGACCATTGTTTAAGCAAGATAAAAATAGTGATCACAGAAAAAGAGCTGTATGCGCAACCTTTTTGTAAAATCTGCCAAAAATCGGATATTTAATATTTTACAGTAAGACCAGTTGGGTTTGAAAGTTAACTCGTGGAACTAACCAATACAAAAAGAATATCATGATTTGGTTAAAAAATGACTGAGTTATGACTGTTCAAAGTCGAACAAAATAATCTGGCAGATTGCATGTTTGCTTG